CGGGGATGCGGGTAGAGTACCACGCTCAGGGACACTGGGAATGACAGAGACGGTTCGATTAGCGCCTTGGGACGGAGCCTTCAAGCCGGTCTAGGGTGAGCAGGCTAAGGTTTTGATTTTCAAATCGATAATGCTTTCAAACTTTTCGCAAAAAGGAGTGCGAGAGGTCGTTATGAGTGACGGGGACACATTTCGGTTGGAAGAGATGGAGTAGACTTGGAGGAGCTGCGTAGGAAGGACACGAACGAAAGAGTTGACAAGGCGACATCGGCGTGGAACTTGTTCATCACAACCATGTCTTACACGTCAGTGCTAACTCAGATCATGTCGGATGCAGCCCTAGCGGGGCTACCATCGGAGATGATCTGGGCCAGCACGGGCATGTAAGTCACCGTTGTAATGAACCAGTTCGATATTTCCTTTTCAACTCTCTCATTGGTGTACTGCCTATGCAGCTCCTCCATTTCTACTCCTTCTCTTCCAACCGAAATGTGGTCGTCCCTCAAAACCACCTCTCGCACTCCTCCCTGCGAAGGTGGTGGGGGGTAGTCTACCTTACTGGACGTATGGTAGAAGCTTCCATGAACGTCGGTGTTGACTCCTACAGAAGTGGAGCAGGCGGGGGGGTGCTTGAGCAGATATCCGGACCAAGCGCGGAGGCACAAAACATGCGCACAAGCGTTTGCCCAAGGAAGTCTTGACTGAGTTACATCGCATGTTGGAGCGACTGGCGATGACGCAGAACGAGGCAGTGGGTGCAACACGAACGAAAAAAAACGCCCCATGATGGCGAGGATGACGCTGGGGGTGGCGTATTCCCACCCCTGTATTTATTTCTTCCGAAGGAATAACGCCGTGAAATCGTTCCAAGCGTAGTAGACAAGACAGGCACGGAAGTGACACGCTATGGCGGCGCACAAAGACTCACCACCAACGCAAGCAACTCACATATAAACCACGCGTGGCAAAAATTCCTCGCGCGTACTCACGGAGTCAATCAAAGCAACACACTTTTGCCACCAAGAATCGGGGCGACCCAATCCACAGCGGGAGAGAGTCTCCCCTTGCCCTTGTAGCCTTCGGCGACCAACCACCCTGAACCTAACCTCCCATACTACAACGCCCCTCTGCAGGCGAGAAAATACACACAAACACACATGCACGGAGAGTACCCAATCTTGCCCCGTGATCCGCCCAGGGGCCTCAAGACCGTACCTTTTGAAAACGTTTTTCCGTCTCTACTAGGCCGCGCCGCTGAGACTTGACGTATTTTCATCGGCCGCGCGGTCCAATGCCAACACACACGCACGCGCACACCACCTTCACTCACGATGCAGGTGTTGTCGTCGTCTCCCAAGGGAGCCGAGACCTCCGCACCGCCGGTGGCGGCACCTGGAGCAGACGCCGCCGCGGAGTTCGGGTAGCCCCCGCCTCCGCCTCCGCCACCGCCACCGCCGCCCCCGCTGCCGCCTCCTGAAGAAGATGGGGTGCCACTGCTGTTGCTGATGCGTGATCGGTGCCCGCCGGTCTGGAAATTGGGGTGGACGACATCAGGAGGGAGGGCAAGATACGGGCAGTCGGTAGACAATACTTGGAAGTAGAAACAGTCCAATTGGGGTGCTCGCACCGTCAAACAAACAAAAAAGACGTTTCCTCTTCAGCTTCCCGAATACGGATGCTACAGAAGATGCTGAGCGAGAATCCGAAAAGGTTTTAACGGGAAGACTACAAAAAAAACAAAAAAGTAGAAGAAGCAGCAGCAACAGACAAAAAAAATAACCACGGCCTTTCTCCCACTCGCTCACAAGACTCCAACAACATACCCCCTTCGACTACTGTGCTACAATCTCGAATGGGTGTATGTATGCCCTCTTCGGTTGTTTGTCATGTCTTCCAAAAATAACAAGCATCGGCGGCCACACCGCTCACCTCAGGAACAACGTTAGCACCGTCATAGAGACACTTCTCCAGCGCCCTCCACAGGGACCCCATGTCTCTGATTTCGGTCACCTTGCACCCCTGCGGGATCAGAACCAAAACGCCGCGGGGGGAACAGCGGGAACGCCGGGGTGGCGCGCGGGGCGGGGCGCGTACTCTCATGTGTCTTGCATGCCGTCGGTGCGGGGGGAGGTAAGGGGCCGCACGCTCGCCAGATTGTTGAAAAAGAGGTGTCTTGGCGAGTTCGAGCAAGACGGAGCACGTTGCATGCAGGGGTGTACGCGAAAGAAGCCCGTTCTTAGGGCAACCGCCGGTAACACAGGCTTCGCGTAACTGGCCGACGACACTAATAGACAAAAGAGGGTACACCACACCACCACACCCGCCTCGCCGTAGGAGGGTGGGGGGGGGGGGGTATGTCTATCCTTCATCGAGGCCCGGCCCTGCACACGTGGGTGAAAGGGCGTGCGATGTCAAGAATGTACGGGATGAGGATACACGCGGGGGAGAGACAGCGTAAACCATCTGATGCTAACAGACCTGAGTGAATGCGAGGTACCGCATGATTTGAACGTGTCCGGACGCGGCGGCAGCACCCATCACGCTCAATCGACGGCTGTCACCCAGGGCAATCTGACACCCACAAGTGCGGCAGAAGGCGGGGAAACATGGGGTGCGGGAGGGGGGGGGAGGAGTTTGTAAAACTGAGCTATTTTTTTTATGTAGAAACGTGGTATGATATATATCAGGGTCTACATAGGAAATGACGTCAAAAATCAATTATTATCACCATATCTACAATAGTAAGCATTGTCTTACATGTGTTGTGGGTACGACGTATGTGGGTGTCACTCGACCCCGATGTGGAGAATCAGTTCAACACAGACCTCCGAGAGGTAGGTTGGACAGTCCGTTATTCTGTAACGTGCTATGTTTCGTCTAGAAGGGCACGCTCTTTGAGGGTACCCGTAGCTTACAAGGTCCGAGTGCAGGCCCAACGGCAATATCTTCCCGAATACACGAGGGTCACCTCAGCCTTAAAGAAAATTCCATCCTACTTGATAAAGATGGCCATTCATGCATTCATGACCCCATCTTTTCAAAAGTTTCCACTTTTTTCGTGCGTCTATGCATACTCGTTCTGTGCGCTCCACCCACGTGGCATGTGATCGCTTCGAAAACAGACAATGCATGTGGACATGCAACCAAAACCACCACCACCACCCAAAATCACCATCAACACCACCAACATCAACATCAACCAACATCAACAACAACAACATCAACAACAACAACAACAACAACAACAACAACAACAACAACAACAACAACATCAACATCAACCAACAACAACAACAACAACATCAACATCAACATCAACATCAACAACAACAACAACAACAACAACAACATCAACAACAACAACAACAACATCAACATCAACATCAACATCAACAACAACAACAACTACAACTACAACTACAACCACGACTTACCTTCTTCTCACGGTCGAGGAAGAGAGGGCAGCATCGGTCATCAACCAGCCAGGCGAGGATGTTCAGGTTGCCACCGGAGGCGGCGCAATGAACAGGCAGCTGGACAAGGCCGCGAACGGAGGCAGCGGGTACGTTTGCCGAAAGAGTGTTGTTGGGGACAGCTTCATCACTTTCGGCTTTGCCTCAATCCTCGTGAGGGTCTACGGACCAAAAATCTCGGGGTAAACAGAGAACCGCTGGATGGGGTTGGAAGGGAGGAAAAGCTTACAAACTGAGACACTGCCGTGGAAAGCATTTGCAACACCCGCTGTCAGCTGCGACGAGGACCTGGCTTGTCGGTCTCTTGCCTTTCGCAACGGCCGGGCAACGCGCAGCGACGGAATGTGCTCTTGAGACTGACTGCTGCGCACAGAGAGACGCAAAAAGGCCAAGAAAAGACGCACCGGTATTCCATGCTCTTCGTACACGACTTGGGGGCGATTTTGAAGGAGTCGGGCGCTCCTCCAAAGAACGCTCGGTATTCACAAGAAGACGTCGATGATTCTACGGCACCCCCCGGCACAAGTATGCAAGAGGTCTCGAGAAAAAAACGCATGACCTGGCGCTACGGCAGGGAGGTCATCTCACCTCATCTCACACTTTTGGGTGAGGAGGCATACGCCCGAGTGCCGCGTCCTATGCTGCCATGAGATCACCAAAACAGGACCACACGTTTTCTCCTTAAACCGTGCAATTCCACCCCCCAAAGTGCACCAGCATCAGTCACAAATGTGCATGGGAGCATGCATACCTCGTTGTGGTAGATCGTGTACGGCACTCGAAGGTTAACGCAGCCGGTGCTGAACGCCGCCATGGCCCCTTCCTCCGACCCTGACAAACACGCCTTCCTGAAGTCCTCCCCGGCGCCGTAGCAGCTGCTGCACACTCGCACCTTCTTTTCGCTGCTGCTCTCCAGCGAGGCGGTGCAATTGTTGCCGTTTGGTTTGGATTTTCGGGGCCGTAGCGGAGAGATTACGAGAAAAAAAAAAACAGAAACAGAGGGAGCGAGACGCAGAGATGGGATAGGGGGGGGCAGAGTAAAGGAGAGAGAGACAGGGACAAAGACGCAAATAAAGCAAGGTCCAAGTGACAAGAGAGAGAAATTGATAAAAAAAAGCGGCCACACATACGAAAAAAGCTGATGCCACACTGCTGACTTAATCATTTCGAGAACAGAGACAAGATTGACTCCCGACACCCAACACAAAAAACCCCCGACACGTGCCCTATTAGACGCACGATGGGAGACGAGGCTCACGTGTCCACGTTGTACGTCGGGGGAAGCATGCTTCGCGGCCAGAACCTCTCCGCGCACGCGGAACATACCAGGCGGCCGCAGTTGCGGCAGTGGTGCCTCCTCTTGAGCACGTACCCGAAGGTAGAGTCGCACACCGCGCATCTGACGAGGGGAGGGGGCCGCGTGAGCAATGAATAAGCTTCACGAACCGATTGACCCACCATGGTTGACAAGGCAGACAAAATAATACTCCTTCGACGTATACAAGTATACATCAAGGGGGGGGGTGGCGTCGGCAGGCCTAAGGAAAACGCCAACACCAGGGGGACAAAAAGGTCCAACAACGAAAACCAGGCTCTCGAGCTTAAACTCTGCGGTTGCGCCGCCTCTTGAGTTGTCGCCGCCGGGCACACTTGAATTGCATTCCGTCATGAACATCCCCGCCATCAAGAAACAAAAACAGCTCGGGATGGACTTTTTTTTACAGGTTGAACAACATTTGCCGACCGCATTTCCATCAATTTTTTCTTGCCAGCACCAGACAATGATGGTAAATAGCACCCAAACGTCCAACCCGATACCACGATACAGGTATGCATCCCAAACCTTTTCCTCTGACTGCCTGGTTACTTTGAACAGTAGCAGCCACTACCCGCAAAGCACTGCCGGCGTAGGTAGTTCGATGCAATAAAACCCGAAAACGCGAATGCCTCCCATGTTGTGTCCAACCCGAACACGAGCCTTACCTCAAAAGTTGTTACATAGACAACAAACACCACAGCCAACCGTGTACTCCAGCGTGGAACACAAGGTCAAGTGGCCGAGCGGTCTAAGGCGCTAGTTTAAGGCACTAGTTCGAAAGAGCGTGAGTTCGAATCTCACCTTGATCATTCTTTTTTCCGACAGAAAATCATGTTCCTTCTTGTTTTAATACAAATGCATACTTCCAGGCGTCCGACCATTTTTTATAAAGTAAAAATTACCGACGAAATGAACCAACCTCGAGTCTTTCCCGGGCTCCTGCCAGAGCGGTGGAGAAAACGATTCTGCGGCCCTCTGTCCCTCGTACGCGGTGTCGTACACTCCTACCGACACCTCGACGGGCTCGGCGTCCTGTTTGTTTGTTTGTTTTGATAGCACATGGTACGAAGAACGAACGTCACGCCAAGCCAGAGTGCATGGACAAGGGTACCACAAGCATTCGTGCGCGGTCTTCATCGCCATCCGAACGTATCGCTCCAGGTCACCGCTGCTTGCAGGTATATAGCTAACGAGAGAGCGATCTCCCGAATTTTAAGCTAGCAACTTTCCCAATTACCAAGAGGCAGCAATTCTAGCACTACAACGCAGGGGACCAAAACCCAGCCAGTACAGTTGCATTCTCAGGCGATTTTCCCGGCCTTGCGCCGGGCACACGGCACTATTGAGAGTAATAGACAACTTGAAAATTCTAGGAAAATTCCATCGGTGTCACGCGATTTCGTCGGCCATATACCGAGAGACAAGCCTATATTCACCCGGCCATAAACAGGGACCCTACTGAGCTACGATTTCTCTCAACCACAGCCGCAAGCGTCCTTCTGCTTCCGCCGCCGCACCCACGAATGCGTGCACACAGTTAAGCACCGCACTCACACACACGCACCCCTCCCGTTTATCTATTCCCTCTGTCTCGCACAAAAAATACGCTTGCAGACACGCACGCACACTCGACCAAAAACACTCCAACAAGCTTTACGACACACACCACACACCTGCTTGTTCTTCCTCCAAACGGAAACGCTGAACTTCCCCTCCGGGGTCTGGTGCATCTCGTGCGGGGTAAGCTCGCGGAACCTCCCCCTCCGCGCCCCAGCCTCCAATGCCCGGTCGCCGCCCCCTCCTCCATCCTCCCCCCCAATCGCCCCGGGGCCCAGCACGGCCCCAATGAGCGATCGCCCCAGGTTCCCCCAGTTCCAAGAGCCGCCGCGCCGGCGGTTGGGGGAGGCACTGGCGCTAGACGCTGCCGACGTTCCTGCCGGGGTAGTGGCGGCAGTGGTGGCGGGAGAAGTGGTAGCAGCAGCAGCAGCAGCAGCAGCAGCAGCAGCAGCCGGCTGGGCTGGCGGGGTCGGCGCAGGAGAGGGGGTTACGGTGGTCGCCCTGCTGCTGCCGCTGCCGCTGTTGCCGCCGGTACTTCCTCCGCTCCGGCGTTGTGTCGCGCCTGCGGCTCCCGTCGGTGGTGTCGGTGCTGATGGAGTTGAAGAAGACGATGGCACCGGGGCGCCGCCGCCGTTGGCGTTGCGAGAGGGGGGGGGCCTGGACGCGGCCGGGGTTTGGCCCGAGCGGTGCTGCGTCCCCGCCGGGGTTGGGTTGTTGCCACCGCTTGTGCTGCTGCTGCTGCTGCCGCCGCCGCACGTGGCGGTGGCGCTGGTGGTGGTGCTGGTGGTGGCGGAAGGTGCTGGACGGGCGTTGGGGGATGGGGACGTTCCTGTTGACCGGGCGGACGGGGTCCTGTCTTGTCGTGGTTGTCCCTGTACGGCGGAGAAGAAAACACGCGCGTCCGCACATACCGAAGTATTCAGCACCGTCCGTGTCTGTGGGCATGGGGCCCCTGACCCGACTGCGCTGAGGCATGCGGGAGTGAAACAACGACATCTATTCGCGGCGGTTCATGTTTGCTTTCGGGGGATGTACATTGTACACACGGGCGAAGGCAAAGCATGCTGCTTGTAGGTGGACGGCGCCTCACGGGAGAGAGGTGGCGCGGTACGGCAGTGTAGAATGACCCCGCGGTATCGTCGAGGCGGAGGATCGACAGTATGTATTCCCAGAGGGAGGGAGAGAGAGAGGGAGGGAGAGGAAGAGTGAAAGGCCATCACGCAGAAAGACAGCGGGTATGAGCCTACGCAACTACTGTACTTGAATTATGGTCACGACCGGCACAACAAGGGGGCATCTACACCGCGCCAAGTGCTCGGCGTGTACGAGCGGAGGATGGGATGGTTCCACGTGACAATGGCTGTTGAACGAAAAAATGGTTTGCACCTTCCAGCTTCGAATGGCAAAAGAACGTACCATGCCGTGAAAACACACTGGTTCGCCCGTGAAAAGAAGGTGCATGTGCAGCGCGGAACGTGCTGGTGATCGCGGAGCTGCCTAACGGGAAACCCATATTTTACAGCGGAATACCGCACACTAACATATCCCCCCCCCCCTCTTTTCAACACAAGAGGTTCAAGTGTCGTATGTCTAGGTTACATGTCCGAGCGTTCACCGAGGGGCTGCTGTGTTGTGCTCTTCGTGACGCAACCCTCCTTTCTCTTTGGAGAGTAAACATTACCTCACAGAAAGACTATTATACCCTTTCGTTTCAAAGTGCATCGACGAGTGTGGCTATTTCTCCTGCTGTCTTGGTGTGCATACACGCGTGCGTGTTCAGACTGCTCTAGACGTCTGCAGGCTAGGCCAAGCGTATCGAAAGACGCGATGCGAACCCTTCGAAGGGTCATGTAGAGGAGGGCACTCCCATTGAAACGCGACGCGGGTCGCAGAAAAAGGCGAACAGCAGCAAGCAAGTTGAACAAGCGACATCTGGCCTTGCTTGGTGACCTTTCCTCCGTGCGTAGCGGCGGTGATGTGTGATGGACCCAGGCGTCGACAACATATGCCGAACCGACGCGCTCACTGCAGCACAGGATCTCCACCGACCCCGACGCCCTCGACCTCCTCTAGACTCTTCCATCAACATCGAGACACAGGCGGGAAACTGGGGCGGGTAACAGCATCCGAGCGGATGAGACCTTCGAGCGAGTGTGTTACCAAGCGCTTCCCTGCTCCGGGATACGATGCAGACTATAGACTAGTCTATAGACTCCTGATTTTTTGGTCTGGAACAAAATATACATATGCCTACCTGCGCTGCTGCTGTCTCCGAGGGGGCGAAAGGGTTGCCGCCACCGCTGCCAGCGGCTCCCGCGCTTGTCCGTGAGGATCCTCTTCGCCTTGAAGAGGCGCCAGCAGCAGCAGCGCCTGCGGCCGCGCCGCCGCCGCCGTTGCTTCTTGGCGGCAGAGCCGGCGCCGCCACCACGGGGTTACTCAGAGGAGGCGCTTCGGGACTCAGGAAAGGATTAAATTCTTCATCGCTTTCCTCCCGTGTCGCTGTCGCCATCGTCGGCGTAGAGTTGTCTTCGGGCACGCGCCTCGGGTGTTCTAATGCGGCGGGCAGATAAGGGGTCTTGGGGCGGACAAAGGGGTGTAAGGGAGAACAACTTGTTGTTGTTGGATGATGCGATCGTCTTCTTTGTCCAAAATGCGGCGCATTCATTCTTCCCCAGGACCGTTCCGAGAACGCACGGGGAACTGAGAAATCTACTACGATCCTGCGCACCACAGCAGATCTGCGTAGATCTCGAAGATCTTTCAGGCGGAAAATCCAACACAAGAGATTACATGATGCCGTCATAACGTAACGGCGCAGTGTGGCCCGTGTTCATGCTGCGAGGCTTGTGCGCTTCTTGGAGCTTCCGCTTTTAGGCCTGGTGTGTTCCCGCCCCGAACGGATCAGTGTCGCCGACCATCTAGCCGGCGATCCGGGACTATTTCGCGGAGTTGGATGTGTCAACGCGGGAAGCTGCTTGGTTTGAACACCTGTGGATGGACGCATGTCTTCCGAACGTGCGGTACCGTTTGCTTCTAAACCTCCTGAAGGATGGGATGAACATGTGAGCGACCGTGTATACTACCTCAAAATTTTCTGATGCACCTGTATGTAGCTCCCCCGCACACACCAATAGAACCAAGTGCGTTGACCACACAGCCTATCGATGTACCACCGGGGCAACCGCCTTATTATAGTAGTTGGCTACACTCCTAGACTATATCGTACTCACGAATTACAGTACACAAAATACCCAAGTGAGGACGAAGGACGTGATGCAGACAACAAATACCGGGTATCTCCCCGGTATACAGGCTTTATCATATACCGCGGTACGTAGACCACAGGGAGGAGAAGACCACTTAGGAGTTTGAATCTCGCCGTGAAGTGGTTGGTAGCTTGCTTAACTCTCTCTGTACGTAGTCTTGTGATTTTCTTTCTGGAAGGTAGACTCAACGCAAGACAACACTTTTGCACCGGGAGAGCATCCTCTTTGGGGCGCACGCATTGTGGTGAACGGATGTTTTTCAGATACGAAAATCAGTCGTCGTTGGAGGACAACCAACACAAGACATGGAATCGATTATCATTTGAATGTATTTCCTGAATTCGCACCATCCAGTAAGTAAGGACATTGAGGCCAGTCTCGGAAAATAAACGTTCTTGAAATTGTTCCAAAGAATCCTTTGACGACGGCATGAACCAGGTGGAGGTGATGCGAGCGACCAGGATGTTCCTGCTTCAAACCAAAGGCCCCACACGTTTCGTGGTAAGATCTGTTCACTCCATTGTCTTGGTCTGTGGACGACCACCTACATACTAGTCTCCAGTGGTACCATTCAGCTATTCCGAGGTGGGAAGTGCTTAGCCCGAAGTAAAAATCGGCGAAAGAAGCAGAGGGTGGTTTCTGCGTTTGCCATAGTTGCCGAGCCATGCCCATGTCGTCTGAGTGGTTAGCCTCTGGTGTCACTTTTACAATATTTTTTTAGCACCGGCAGGGAGCTGCTACCCCGTCTTGACGCCAAGACTTTGACACATTTGTATTCTCGACATTCGGCACATACAGTAAAGAAACTCAGGGTCGCACAGCCCTTCTACACGAATGAGGAAAGCAATCGGGCCGGTCGCCGATACAAAATCATGTTCATTCGATACGAAGGACTATGTAAACACAGCAGGTGCAGCAGAGAGACAGTGCTTCTTGAGAAGTCGAGATATGGCTGGAGTAGGCCTTGTAGGGACAAACAAAGTAAGGCTTTGGACGGCACTAGGCGCGTGGACCGGCGAAACCACGCCGTGCCTCACGTCGACAAAAAACAGGAAAACGTTCAAACCATAGTGTCGAACAGCGAAAAGGATCGTTGACCAGTGCCAACTGACATGAAACGTTTCTCTATACGCACAAACACATCCCATTCCGCTAACGCTCGTGACCCCCGCCGTCCCTGCCGACGCTCCAAACTCCGATCCGGACGGTATTTTGTGCATGCGGTCGGTCTAACAATGGGGAAGGTGCGCGGCGAAGAATCCGACCGCAAGTTCACGGTGCTCGTTGGAAACAGGGCACGCTGCTCGTGCGGCGTCCCCCTGTGCCTGCACCACTTGTTCATCATGCTAAAGGTACATGCAGTTCGTGAGGTGCTGGGGAGACGTGTGTCGCCCCTGAAGCCATTGTCATCTCGGGGCGGAGGGGGGGGTATTTGCGTCGTGGCTTCCCTCTTGTCGCGGGGTGGCCAGTGTACCGGGGGGTTCGCGACAAACGCAGGACGACCTGTGAATACCCCATCGTCTGGCATCATCGCGTTGGTGCTGGGCAGAAGGTTTTTCTTTTCCTCATGTGTAGTACCGTCGCACGCATGCACTCTTGTCTCCGTGGCGGGAGAGCTCCGCTCCGGGGTCACAGACACATTCCCCAACGCGGTGCTTGCGTTTAATAGCGTATACACCTCCCTCGCGACACAGTTGTGAGTCCGTGGCAAACTGCCCCTACGTAGTTTTGATCCCCCATGCCGAGCGACACAACTCGTGTGTGCATCTTTCCCCGCACGGTCGACCCGAAGGTCCTCAAGGTCCCGCCCAGCAACCCTCTAGCTTGGCAGACTGCACTCATTGACTCAGAAGTGGACTACATCCTCAGCGGCGGTGGCGGGGACAAGGGAAGAAAACACGGTGCGAGCGCGCCCGGGGCCGCGCGGCCGCAAGGGCAGCAGCCCCGCGAGTTCCTACGCCGAGGTGGGGGCCGTACGTCCGCCGGCGGCGGTACTGGCGTCCTCAGGGAAGCCGACGGTGGCGGGGATACGGGGAGCTGTTCCGGGGGTTCCGCGGGAGGCGGCGGGGGCGGCGGGCACCCCCGGCTCGAAATCGCCCCCGGAGAGGTGTGTCCGGTGTGCCAGGAAGAGATGGACGAGGGCGGGGGTGAGGGAGAGAATGACGGCAAGGTGGTTGCGGCGGAGGGTGGCGGCGGGTTGACGTACTGCAGGGACGGCTGCGGGAACAACATGCACGCCAGGTAGGGTGCGTGCGGGGGTGGGGCCGAGTGCTCCCCGCCTGCGAGGCATGCTGCTGATCCGCCCCCCGCGTGCTTTTCGCTTCGATAAAGTTTGAGCTGTCGTGTTCGCGACGCCGTGTGAAAAGCAATCAACACACCGATGGTGCTCCTGCATACGGCACGGTTTTTCGCGCACCGCGGTAGAGCCATCGCCACCGTCAACCATTCGTGGTAGCAGGAGGAGATGGTTTTCGCAAGACAGGCTGTATGGTATAACTTTTCCATGACCCGTGACCAACGATTGTTCACTTTGCTAAGAATTTCACAAAGCGAACAGCGCGTAATCGTGGGTGTGTAGACAGCGAAGAGGGGGGGGGAGGTGCAGGATTCTTCTCCCAAAAAATGTTCAAGGTGAGTACCGCAGGAGGGAAAGGTGGAGAATTCCCCCTGTGTTACCGCGGCAGGTGCGTCAACGTAATACAGGCTTGGACTGTCGCCCCGACAATAGGTAGGCCGACAGGAGAAAATATTCCACTTCGTCTCTGACCTCGTTAAAACCGTAGCCTTTTCACACTCTCTGAACCGTTATCCTTTTGATACGCTATAAACAAGCCGGCACCGCAATAACAGTTAAGCGTGACCGCCGTGAAATCTAAGCACCCCTTCTCCCCCACCCGGACGTACCGAAACAGGTGCATGCTGATGTATGCAGAGCACCGTCGCTCCAGCGGGGACAAGCCATGCTGCCCCCTGTGTCGCGCCGATTGGGGCATTACGGCCGTTCGAGCCCTGAGGGAAGACGCTCGGCAACAGAGGAAGGGCAAGGGCGGCGGGGGCGGCCGATCGCCGGTGGGACGAAGCGGCAGGAGACGGGGCGGGAGAAGCGGTGGTTGTCAAGCGTCCGTGGCGCCTGTTACCTGCAGGAGTTGCAGCGTCAAGGTCCAGGCGGCGTTTTTTCGGTGTCTGGTCTGTCTGCCTGCCGGCTCGTGGGTGAGATAGCGTGTGTCCGTCGTGAGGCCCGGGCGTGTGGGGGAAGGGAAAGAACGCGGGTTCGGGCGGTGAGAGTCATATCGTCCCATAAACCGACCTCGTCGGCCCACACCAGCTTCGATGTCATCGTAGAGACTGCAATGGTCAAGAAGATGTTTCCACTTTTCTACCCTGGGCCTTCTGCGTTCCCTCTACAAGACCGTCAGCACCGTCATGGTGCCCACACACATATCCCACTTGCCGACGCTAACCCACCCGCCACATCGTAGAGGCAACGTTCTACGAAACGTTAACGGTGCCACTTTGGGGCCAAAGCCTTGTGCAGATCCCCTCAAAAACCGTCCGCACTCTTTATTGTGAACCACACAGATTGTCCCACTTGCCCACGCCACAGGACCTCTGTCGGAGGTGCTACGCCATGAGCGGGGTCCGCGGCACAAGAAGCAGCAGCAGTGGCGGTGCGATCGCCCCTCCTTGCACCCCCTTCGGGAGACACCGGCATCCCTTCGTGCAAGGGGAGGCTGCGGCCGAGCCGCCCGAGTGGAAACCCGCCGAGCCGCCCGGCGGCGGTAGGCTAGGAGGTAGCCGCGGCGGCCGCGGCGGCGGGGTAGGCACGGCCAGGAGGGCGGACCCTGTCGCAGCCGCCGGGCTGCTGTCCTTGCAGGCGAGGAGGACTTTCTTGTAGTGGGTGGGTTGGAAGACGGTACTGCATGAGTCTCTTCTGCCGTGCTACCCACGACGACGCTCGTGTTTGGGGGAAGGCTAGTGCCCCCCCGTTGTCCTTGATGCCAAGAACCCTGCGTGTGTGTGCCGTGGAGCTCGTGCGTTTGATGGCGTCACGAACGAACATCGTGGTCAGCAGTCTCAAGGATAACAGTGGCATGGCCGTGGGACTACTTACAAAACAGTGACATGGTCGCGGCAACACTTGAGGCATACAGATGCTCCCGACCGTACGCCAACATGTTTCCCCAACACCGCCCGCAATCTCTGCTAACGTCTCCCATGCGCTGTTTGTCGTCCGTACTCACACCTCTGGCTACCGTTGGTTGAACGAAGGGGCGAGAGATCACGACCGCAGACTTCGAGCTCCTCCTGACTCTAGACGCGTCGCCGGTGTCGCCCCTCCACGAACACCTCCTTCGGGCCCTGCCGCTCTGTCAGGGGACAGGGGCCACCGGCGCCGGGTGTGGCGGTAGTCCCAGTCAATCGTCGGTAAACGCTTTGCCGGTTCGCCAACAGCAGGCACGTTCGTCATCGGAATCACTTGCTACGGCGATGCCCCGTCTACTCTTGGAACACCCATCACCGCCGTCGAGGCCGGCCGATCGGCCCTCGCGGGATTATTTGTCCCCCACCGGTTTACTAGAAGGTGGGGTGGACGGCGTCGAAGAGACCAGCCGTAGCGTCGTCGAATACGACGAAGGCGGCCGTGGTTTCGAAGGCCCTTCTTCGACAACGTCGGGGCTTCTTTCTTCACGACCGTTCGGGAGGACGGCGGTCGTGGCCACAATGTTGGCTTCACCTCCAAGTGCGCCCCCCCCGCCGTCGCTCAATTCCTTGGTCGCAGCAGCAGCTTTGAGAAGGCACGAAACCGCAGAAGCAGCAACGGGAGGTGACACGGAAGCGTCGGCACCGGCGGCGGCCGCAGCAGCAGGAGTAGCAGCGACGACCGAAGCCTCGCCCAGAGAAGAAATTACGGCGTCCGTCGCGACCGCGCCCTTGCTTCCCTCGGTCGAGGTAGCCCCGGTCTCTGGCAGTTTCATGGCCGGGGCTACGTCCTGCTCGTTCTGTTCCGTTGCCGACGCCGCGGCTACGGCCGGTGACGCCGCCGCCCGTGGTACCGAAAACGGCAATGTCGACCCACAAATCGAGGTGGCATCTCCTTGCATCAGCCAACAGCCCCACCCGTCCCCGTCCTCTTCGATGCTCTCTTCGCGGGCACAACCATTGAAGCGACTCCCGTGTGGCCACAACGCTCACGAAGCTTGCCTCGTGCCCCTGATCCTCGAGAGCGTGGGCAGGGGCGACCCTTCGAGTTGCGTGTGCCCCTTAGACTCGAGCCCGATCTTCCCGGCCCTCTCTCGCCGGAGGCGCTCTCGCCGCAGCAGCTCAGGCAGCGACGGCGGCGGCACCCCGTCAGCCAGCAGCGACAACCACCGCAGGGGCACGAGATCAGCCCCCTCGGTGACGTCATCACCTGCCGGCCGTACCGGTGGAAGCGCAGCAGACAGACACGCACGGGCGGCCGCGGCAAGGGAGTCGCTCCGCAGAAACGATGGCGACTTTGCCAATGACGCGCTCGGCATTGAGCTCGTCGGATCGAGGTTCGCGCAGCAACCATGCGCCCCCCCCCCGCCGCCGCCGCCGCCGCCGCCGCCACAAGGCGCGGCAGTCGTGGCCGCTTCGGCAACGCTCACCACGGGGTCATGCACTCGAGCGACAAACGATAACGGCTTGGCAGCGCCTCGTGATGATGCGGGGACGCACGAAGGAGCAGAGGAGGCGGGGAAAAGCGGTGGTGGTGGTGGGGTAGTAGGTCGGCGCGTGGGCCCTTGCCGAAACGCCCGCGCCTCTTGCCTGAGAGGTCGTGCCATTCGCTCCGGCGACTCGGGGTCGGACAGCAGTTTCGCTCTTTTCGTCGGCGGTGCAGGGATAGTAGCGGATAGGGCAGGAGGTGGCGCAGCGGCTGCACGAGGAGGGGGCGGGGGCGCGGAAGACGGCCTCGAAACGGCAGCGGGCTCTCAAAGATCTCGGCAACAGTCTCCGTGCGTTGTTCGAGGTTCAACGATAGGCGGTAGAAGGAGTAGACGACGCAGCACCAGCACCACCGCCACCACCACGATGGGTACTGCGACCGCCGTTGTGGCACCTGCTACGGCTGCACGTGGTCATCGTGCTGTCGATGGATTGCCAGTGATTTCTCTTTCTCTCCCGTCGGTCTCAAGCACCAGAGGAGGCACCGCCGATAGGACTGCGACGGAACGAATCGAGAACGAGGCTCCATGAGAATAGATCAAATGGACAGAGGGAGATTTGTCCCTCGGGTCACGCACCAGGACGTCGCGTGAAGCAAGTGAAACGGGTGATAAACATTTGGGCAACGTCCTTTCCCCCTCGCGCCCCCCCCGCATCGCACGTGCTGCCTTCGACAACATACGATAGGAGTTATTGGTGCCGTTGTTGGGGGACCCATCCCGACTGTATCGCGTTGGGAACGCCCCCCGTGAAAGGAGGAATGAGACATGCCCGACGAAACGGGAGCACGACCGGCCACTGGGACGGCGGCCTATTTCACGGGACGTTGAGCGGGCGCCGGGGGTAAAGAAGTGAAAGGACGTTGTACGCAGCGGACGCCGGGAGTCCGAAGAAGTGAACGGGTGCCTTCAATACCATTAGAACCGCCTCGGTCGCATGGAAGGCGTTCATTCTCCTCTGTGGCTTTTGGGCAGCGCGAGCGACGCAGAAGCAGCAGGCGAACTTTGCCTGCAGTCTTCCGAACAAAAAGTATTCGATGCACGACCGGCCTCGCTACTGCAATGACAATGACGAAAAGTCCGCGTTACTTTATTCTCATTTTCTCATTTCTACACATCGCCATATTTCCCCTGTCCAAAATGTCTACGCTGCATACCCGAAACACCGAAATGCAGCCAAGCACCAAAACTCGCCCAGGCACCGTCGGTAGTCGTCTCATTTAAGGCCGACGCACACCCCACCCCCCACGCTACAAACAAACACAAGCGCAACTGAAACAGTACACCCATCAACGCCTATAAAACATGACATCGACACGAGTATTCACCGCACTATGCAGCAGAACCAAAGACACCAAAGACTCAAGTTGAACATGAAAAGCTTACATTTTTAACAGCTCGCGCACTCAACTCTTTGCGTCCCGTGCACACTTACACCACGGCCGCGTAGAGCTACAGCACACTTTGCCCCTACCCCCCCCCCCTACCCCGCGCTGTGGGTCTAGATATTTCTAGCTGCGGGCTCGCAAGGCACGCGCCCATTGCGTGTGAACAGCCAACAGCAGTACCAGTTCAAGAAAAAAAAAAAACGTCGTTGTGATTTCCGCTGCAGAAGGCGGGATGACTGCCTAACCCAAAGAGCGTGTGAGTGCTCAACAACGGCAAGCAGCGACGTTACGGCCATCCAATGGTCCGGGCCGTCTGGAGAACGCCCACCCCTCATACACTGCTGTGACGAGTGACGCCACTCGGAACACACCGTAGGGCTATCTACACCAGGAAGGCGAAGCATTGCACATCTATGAAACGTTATGTATGGACCTTAACAGCAACCCAAAACAATCGAACATGAGGACGCCGTTGGCTTTCCCGGAACAAACTGAGCTTGGCAGAAGCACGTTCGTCGTCGACGGTCCAGAGCGTGCGTGCAGATAAGACAAGGCCAACCGCTGTTACAACGGACACCCAAGACCAGCGTGTGGCAACTCAACAACAACAAGGAGGCATCGGCGGTTTACCACACGATGCAGCCCGCAGGGTCTCGTCCTCACGCACATAAACAACAAATTGCCTGATGGTACCGGAGACACATGTATGTGCACACAGGCACTCGCGTGTATTAAGGCCGGTGTCCCTGACGCTAGGGAGGCAAATTACTACTTTACAAGAGAACCAATGCCTCTTGATGAACAATTCGTCAACAAACAAGGGGAACGTGAATTGTTCCCGTCGTGACAAACGAGCACACAAAATACAACATACCATCGTTGCCGCAAAGGACACATGCTCCCCCGTACATACGCTCGACATGTGCCCTGTCAGCTGAGGCGATGCCAACGTTGGCCCAATGGCGGCACGAGCTTTGCTTGAATAGCTAAACCGCGTTCCCTGTCCACAAAAAAGACTAGAGCAACTCCAAAACAGTAAAAATATCGATGACAACAACAGACAAGAGCAACGGACCCACTCCAGACGCTGCAGGAAGTAGCAGCAGGGCGGCCGCCGCAGCCACAGCAGCCTCAGCCGCAGATGATTGCCCTAGCGAGCCAGGCAGCCCACGTGAGCTCCTCTTCGCTCTGCCTCGAGAGCGAGCCGAGGTCAACAAAGCCGCGCGACAAGGCATGCCCCCCCCCCCCCCCCCAACTCCAAC